CCTACTCTTTTATCCGAGCATTTATACGACCAATTTGGTTGGTAACAAGTTATCTCAGAATTATTTATTTTGAGGTTAGCTATCCTGATGGGAACAAGTTATCTCAGAATTATTTATTTTGAGGTTAGCTATCCTGACAGGGGCGGATCCACAGGTAAGTTAGGGGTTCGAACCCTCGGTAAAAAATTACACATAAATATATATATTTTGAATAGAAAAATGAGATAGCTCAGTGATAAGCTCCTCTAAAGCTATGTGTGATGTCTTGGCTAGCATTTTAATTTATACTTTTTTAGTTTTATTTTTTTAACTTTTTAGTTTCAGTTCCATTTTTTCATTTTTTAAAAAATAATAAAATATGTCAAAAGTGTGGTTTTAAATTTAAAAGAAATCAAGGGTCATTCCTTGAAAAAAAATTTATTGATTTATTTACGCGTTTATACTTTTATATGAAAATCCTAGTTTTGTTGGAAATTATCATTTTAAACTTTAATTTTTTTTATTTTAACTTTTTATGAGGTGATTCGTAGTCAGATTGAAACAATCAGAATGTCTTACTTTAGCGTCAACAGATAAAGGGTCTTGGTCACTTTCAAGATATAGATGAGTGGAAACACAGATTCAACTTACACACGGACAAAGCATTTATATTGTAGTAAAATACTTCTATCATTTTATATTATTTGATCTTTGTTCGTATTAAATTTTAATTATTATTTTATATTATTTGATCTTTAATCGCGTTAAATTTTAATTATTAATAGTAGTACATATTATACCAATATAATTTGATGTCTGGTCCCATAAGTACATCATGAGCCGTTCATGCCATTGATATTGATAAAGATGTGACAATAATAATCACATTGACATTAAGCAATCAATGATTATATTAATTGAATATAGCATATAGTGACAAAATAGTGGCCATCTAATTAACACTTTAGATAATGGCTTACAGATGCTGAGTTACCAGTAGCCATATAGTGACAAAATTGTCCATCTAAACAATGATTCTGCTATCTTTTTTTTTTAATTATTAATAGTTCGATATAATGATATTTTTAAATAATTTTTTTTTGTCTTTTATCAAGCCCCACGTCTTATTCAAAAGTGAAATATTTTGATATAATGACATTTTAATTTTTTTTTAAAGTTAGGATTCAGAATTTCATGGTGAATTCGGACTTCCACCTTATAATGTCTGATTAATTCGTATAGAAAAATTGTTAGTTGCACTTGTTTAGTCATTGTTTAACACATACAAAATTTAATTAAACATGGGAGAATCTTCAGTGATTATGAAAATGCTGATTGTTAGCATAATAGCTTTATAAATCAAATCGAATATTAAAATAAAACCCTTCATAGTATCAAGTGATCAAGTATATGGTCTTATCTGTATATATTTCTCAACAAAAATGATCTTTGAATTTGAATGAACCAATTGCTTCTTCATTAAATCCGTCTCGAGTCATGATTTTCTTATCTTAAAATAATAATAATTACGGATAAATAAAATTTATTTAGGTCATGTGCTCAAGCCTCATTTGTTAACTTTGATAACTTTCGAGTGAAGGACCAAACACATGCACTATTTTCGAATATTACATCCGAACTATCATCTCGATTAATATTAATACATCAAAATCTAATATAACAATCCAGTGCACGAAATATTTATTGTTTGAGAGAAGACTTGATATCAGTACAAAAGTGGTGATTGTATAAAATTACTAAAATTTTACACGTCAACACAAATAGGAATTTACAGATGGTCCTTCTCACAAACAAAAATGCAGCATTAATATCGCAGTTAGATTAGCCTTAAACCAAATAATTAAGCTCCTTGAAAAATAAAATTATGCGTATGGCCCGTATCCCTTTGATCTGTTATTCCTCAAAGCACAGCAGCCAATTGAGTAAATAATAATTATAAAAACAAATACACAAAAGTTTAATATTGCCATTTTGTTCCAATTTTTCTGAATTGTTTCGAGGAATGATGCTTTGCATGAACGACAGTTGAAACAGAGCTCATTTTGTGCATTGTTCCAAGTTTTGCAGTCACTGTCTGGCACTGCTGGCCCTGTTTTAGGCATCGTCCAGAATGTTGCGTTTTTGAACTCAAAGCCGCAGTAAGTAGGTGGTTTGCAACAACTCGACTACACCCAAAATTAAAAACAATTAGTGATAATAAAACAGAACCTGTCCAATTTGAACGGGTTGAGTTATGACTTATTTGTTGAATATATAGAGTGACACATCAAATAATTGAGTCAAAAGAGACTGAATTCACTCAAATGTCCCTCTCTTAGGTCCTATGTAATGAACTCAATTTGAATGTAACAATAACCAAATTCTCAACTATTATAACAAAGACTAGAATCCGATTACAAATTCAGAAACTAAATGCAACAACTCAATTAATTAAAGCCCAAACAAAAATATAGAAATATTGAACATAAGAACCAGGAATCAATAGACGCTACAAGAGAAATAAGAAATTTAGACTCTAGGAAGAGACAAGAAGAACAAACAACTTCTTTTACTCATTTACCCTTTTAACCAAATGCTAAATGGGCCGATTTTAGCCTTATAGACAAATCTAAGCTAGCGTTTGGGCCATAGATTTCCAAATATTCTTGGCAAATATTATTTGAGTGAAAATTTGGGTGAAATTTCACCATGTGTTTGGCCATAAAATTTGGAAAATATATTTCACCTTTTTAGAAAAATATGATTTATACACACAAGTTTTAAAAACTATCAAAACTAACTAAAAGTTTGTATTACAAGTCAATTGAATGTTGGTTACAACAATAACAAATAATGTCCATGACACTGAAGCAATGTGGTAATTTGGAGTGAGTGCAACAAGAATTATTTCATACATCGTGAAGTAGATAAAGTACATGACTTTGTTACCTAAAACCAATTTTTAATAATTTTCATCAACAATCATATCATTATTTAATATTCACTAAATATTTCATCACTATTTTGGGTGTTCACGTAAAAAATGATGTAATACAACGCAAGCAAATACTAGAGAGAGTGTTTTTATAAAAGATAAAAGATTGGGGTAAAATTTTAATTTTTAAAATATCCCAAATAATGATATTTGGCCCAAATACTAGAAAAAACTAGTATTTGGAAATTTGGGATATTTGCCAAAAATATTTGTCAAATAATGACAAATTGTATGGACAAACATTATTTGCCAAATTTTTCCCAAATATTATTTGGAAAATTTATGGCCAAACGGCCCTAATGTTTTCACATCTGTAAAATTTTAGACTATGCATTTTCAATCTGTTTAGAAGAGAGAACTACTCTTTTGGACCGTGATCTAAAAAGTTCATAAATTATAAATACGAAATGCGACGAAAGTGAAAAAATTGAAACCTGAGCAGCTGGGAGGTTATATTTGTAGAAATCAGCAGGTTTGCCTCGAGGAATCATTTGACAATATCTGAAAGTTGCCATACAACTCTTAATATCATCCCAATTTTGATCATTCACAACATGTTTCTCCAACCAATTTCCCCAATCTCCAAATTTAGCATCATTTCCACCTTTACCAGACAATGCTTTAGCAACACTTTTATTCGTCACCAAAATAGTGAAAATCGATAAGCAAATCATACCAACGATGAACATAAACAGAAAAAACAAATAAATCCACAGAAAAAACGAAGCTCTGCAACAAGATCCAATTAATCCCATTAATGAAAGCACAAGAAGTGAAGCCCCAAATATAAGCAAAGGCATATATAATGATTTTTGACAAAGGCTTTTAGCTTCATCAGCTTTAAACCAAAGTCCAAATCCTAAAGCCATCATTGCAACCATAAAGGTTAATACGTTAACAAGTGAAATAACGAAATTGCTAACACGAACCATTTTTTTTTTCAATTTTTTTATTTTTGAAAAAAAAATGATAATAATGTGAATTAATATGGAATGATCGGATTTCTCAGGAATCGACCTAAGAAATCTGATCAATTTTTTGTTCTTTGTTACGTAGTGTTTATTTTTCATTTTGTGTATTGTTCGGTAGCTATGGAGGAGAGTGAAATAAATGCGCAGAAAAAGGTGGAAAATGAAAGAAAATCTTGTATGGTTGAAAATGTTTTTATTTTTTACTGTTTCATTAATAAAAAAGAGAGTGCGGTTAAATTTAAAGCTGGTGCATACCTGGGTGGTTTATGAATTATGTTAACTTTAAAGAAAATTCACTATATGTATATAAATATGATTTTTTAACTAATAAATGTCTGATTAAGTTGACTTTGGAAGAAAGTTATTTGAGGTTGTGATTTGTGAAATTTGTGTTTACTTTCCCTCAAATTGAGCAATTAAGATCGACCCAAACCCCTTACCTCGACTTTGACTCTAACTTTTAACTATGACCCCAATTTAAAACTTGGCTCTCAGACCCGAGAACTCACCCTCAACCCAATGTGGGACCCAAGTCGGAGTCAACTCGTGGTCATGGCTCAACAAGTATCCAATTTTGGGTCGAAATCAAGTTCAAGATTAGGACAAGTTGGTATCGTATCCTGAATATGGCTTGAGTTAGTGTTTCGTTCTAGGTTAGGGTTAGGCAACGGCTGAGAACAAAATTAAGAGTTGGGATAAAAAATTGTGTCTCGGGTAGATGTTTGGGATCGTTTGGTTTGAATTCAAAGTTATGATGAGATAATATTTTATTGAGTGTTCGGTTTGTTATATTTAAAATAAAACTTTTAAGAACAATTTATTTGTTTATAAAAATGCTCTTCCTAACTATAAAAAGTGAGTACTTATTTTATCTCAACATATGTTATTCCAAGATTACTATACCACTCCTCTACTAATTATAAATTCTGTAACAAATTATGTCAAATTATCAACCAAACAACAAATTAAATAATTTAATTCCAAAACTATTTGACGTTATTCTTCGCCCCTTAGCGTCGAGATATGTATTTATATAATTTTTCGAGCTTTTAGGACAATCGAGGCAAATAAGTAAAGAAGACAAAAGTTTGGACTGAAACTCCATTTATACGCATACATATTTATGTGTATAGACTATATGTTAAAACTGATAATAAAGAAAACTTGTTTCGAGACAGAGGTGAAAAGAGTGAGATCTAGAGAAGGAGCTGTAGAAGAAAATGGGATGCTCGATCTCAGGGTTGAATGGGTTATACGACGCCGTTAATGGCGGAGGTGATGTTTGGATCAATGAGAACCGGTTCAAGATCATTCGGCAGCTCGGTGAAGGTGGTTTTGCCTATGTCTTCCTTGTTAAAGAAGTCCTTTCTGATCCTTCTAACCCTGGAATTTCCAAGAAATTCAAAGACCCTTCTCACATCTCAGGTACTCAATCCATTGGCTGTTCTATTTATCTAATTTCTTATGATCTCATAATTGTGTGAATATTGGGTTTCTTTCTCTTTTACACATTTTGTTTAGTTGTAGTTATGGGTAAGTTCAATATCATATATTGGAGCACAGGGAACTTTTTTAAATACTGAATCTTTGATGCAGAAGCTGAAAATAAATGATTTTCGCAAAAATTATGAGGGATATTGAACTCCAAAATGTATTTATTCCCTGAGAAATTGGTTGTTTAACTTCTAAAGCTCACTGCAGGTGCTTGAAATCTGTGTTGTGCGGACTCTCCAAAACAGCTGCTGCACCCATGTTGTTTTGGAGGTTCCAACACACACTCATCGACTTTTTTGGAGAGTCCGAGCAACTTAGCTTGAAATACACCATACTTAATAATCAGAAAGTAAAATAACACGAGAAAACGAGAACGTTTGCAGCTTATTTCCTTTATTTTTGTATTTCCTTGTCTCTGGGTGGATGATTTGTAATTACTCAAATGAGTTAGAAAAGGAAAGTTCAGGAATACTTTTTGATGAGTCAGTAAGGCATGTTTTGTTTCCTTATGAGCCTGATTCAATCCGATCATTAATTTGTTCTTTTTGGTTAATAGTGCAAGGTGTAAGCTTTGTCTTGTTGTGTGTAGTTTTCATGTTCTCTTATTCTAAATAAATTATTCAAAGTTTGTCATGTTCCCATGGACTTGGTGATTGCATGATGTTCAAAATTCATTGTCTGAATGTGCAGATGACGGAACTTATGCCATGAAAAAAGTTCTTATTCAGAATAGTGAACAGCTGGAGATGGTGAGGGAGGAGATTCGTGTTTCATCTCTATTTAGTCATCCCAACCTGCTTCCTCTTCTTGATCATGCTATCATTTCGGTCAAGGTAATTGCTGCAAGCGCATTACGTTTGTGTTGATTAGCTTATGGAATGAAAGCGTTGCACTTCTCTCTAATTTCTATGATTATATGTTAGCTATTGGGCTTCCAACAATTAGGTTTTGGAAGTATTAAGCTGAGATTGCACTATCATGCATAGCAGGTGACACATATCACAATTGTTTATCCTTGGTACTGAATCCTATCACAAGAAATTGATACAAAAAGGGGTTATTGGTTCATGGGCGAAGCAATGCACTTCAAAGAAGTGTGCACTTGTTATAATACACAAAATGATCCTAATGAGAGGCGATTTCATTGAATGTCAACTTTGAATTGGATTAATATCAATATTATTGTAAAATGGATGTTAAGATTAGTTCTTTAAATTGCGATTTGATTATTATAATACTAAATTTATAATTATTTGGTAACTTTTTGGAGGTGGCCAGCATTCCATAGTGCTGAAGAAGACAATAGTACTAATTCTCAAAAATAAAGTAATTCTAATCGTTTGGTATATTTTTAATTTTCCGTGACATGTGCTTCAGTTAAAGGAAGCTTGTGGTTCATTTCTAGCCCCATGGACTTTGTTGCTTCTCTGCACTATTTTTGCTTTTAAGAACACTGGGAACATGAAGTAGCTTGGACATCAACGCTAGTTGCCAAAAGAAGTGTTCTCGTGTAGTTCGTTTCTTTTGTCAAAACTGAAAAGTGTAGGAGGGAGGCTATGACTTGAGGAATCCTACATGTTTAGAAGTATTCTCCAACCACTTTATGTTTCTTGGTCATGTACTTATTTTTGACAAGCGTTCATTGGTCATTTACTGAAATACATGCTATTCTTTTCTTTTTTTTGAAACTGGTAATAGAAATACATGCTATTAGTGTTAAATGTGTGAGTATGCTGCTTTGTGTCTTTTAAGTTGCTTTCTCAATACTATATCTTACGCCTTTGGATGTTATCTACTTAATTTATTTGGATAGGTTGCACAAGATCAGTCTTTGAAGCATGAAGCTTATTTGTTATTTCCAGTTCATTTGGATGGGACATTACTGGATAATGCCAAGACGATGAATGCCAAGAAGGAGTTCTTTTCTACTTCAGATGTTCTTCAAATATTTCGCCAGGTGAACAAGAATTAGTGTTCAGAAAATTTGTGCGTTTTCACGGTTTTCTGGGGATAAAAAGGGGAAGGCCAAATACAACTGTGATGTCAATAAATATTTGTTTTTTTAGAACTTGAAAGAAAAGTCTGCTTGCAGCTTTGTGCAGGACTCAAACATATGCATAGCTTGGATCCTTCTTATGCACATAATGATGTCAAACCTGGTAATGTCCTTTTAACCCACAGAAAAGGACAGCCACCACTGGCAATATTAATGGATTTTGGAAGTGCACGTCCTGCAAGAAGGCAAATTCGCTCTCGTTCAGAGGCCCTTCAATTGCAGGTATATCGAGGTGGTTCTTTTATTATGTAGACGTATGTTATGTTCTTCTCTGTTTTTCTTTGATATGCAAATTGCGATTAAGTTGTAACTTGTAACGGGTATATCGTTCATAATTGGCTTCCATTTCTGATATTGTATACATAACCCATTTTGTTGCATTTTCTCTGCTTTCAATTTCGGGTGTTGGTTATGTAGGAATGGGCAGCTGAGCATGTGTCAGCACCTTTCCGAGCACCTGAATTATGGGATTGCCCAAGCCAATGTGACGTTGATGAAAGGACTGATATCTGGTCACTAGGTTGCACTTTATATGCAATAATGTAAGACTTCTGTATACTCTTCTTCAGTTAGTTGTAGCTTTTTCTGTGCAACAGAAAATAAAATTTATTTTTTTGTTTACATAGCTGTTAGTTGCATCAAGACTGTCCAATAGTTTTAGGTTTGATATGAATAAGATTGGTAGGCCTACTCATCTCCACCATGGAATTTCCTGCACTGGACATTCATCTTGTGAATTAAGTGTTTAGGTGCTTGTACTGACGCAAGGTATGGCCTTGTGGTGAGATTCCCACTGTAATAGATGATTTGTTTAATTCCCTGTGCCTAAGCCTTAGTGGATAGAATTACCCGGTACCTGTGCTATGTGGTACTTGGTGGAATAGTTAATGTACATGCAAGTTGGCTTGGACAACACCATCATAAAAACTTATCAGCCCATTTTTTTTTATTGATCTAATTTTTTCAATTCAAAGAAATTGAATTTCTCTTGATCAATGTATGTACTGTTTGGAGGGGAACCTTGGAGTAATGGTAAAGTTGTCCTCGTGTGACCTATAGATCACAAGTTTGAGCTGTGAAATTAGACTGTCTATTACTTCCCCTTGAGTACGGCCCTTCCTCGGACCCTGTGTGAACGTGAGATGCTTTCGTGCACTGGGCTGCCCTTTTTGAATGTATGAACTGTTTGCATGATTTTGAAATTGGTTTTGATGTGGTCACTTACGATAAAAAGTAATCAAATCTTGCATCTATCTTCAGGTATGGGGTATCTCCTTTTGAGTATGCACTTGGAGAATCTGGTGGGAGTTTGCAGCTGGCTATTGTTAATGCACAAATAAAGTGGCCAACTAAGCCTAAGTCTCCATATCCAGAGGGCCTACATCAGTTTGTGACATGGATGCTTCAGCCTCAAGCAACAGTTCGACCTCGGATAGATGATATCCTAATCCATGTCGACAAATTGATCTCGAAGTTTTCACATTAAAAGGATAGAGGAGACACATTGGGTTAGTCTACACATGTGTCTTTCATAGCCTGTTACGTATATATACCATATGTTACTGTTCCTTCTTCACCTTTTTCCAGTCGAAATGTGATTGAAGAAGCAATAGTTCTCTGTTGTTTAGTGATAGAAGAAGGAATATATATGTGATGAGAGGTTTATTTGGGGAGTTCTCTGTTAGTTACATAGTCTGATTGCTGTTGATAGTTTATTTATCCAGCCTTCTTTTCCTATCTTGTAATAACTTGTTTTCGTAGAAAAAAACACAAAAAATTCCATACTTCAAACTTTTAACTGTAATTTGATCCTTATTAATTTTGTATTCTCAATTTCTGCATTAATTAAACGTGAGAATGCAATAATTAGATTCTTTCTCCATCTAATTAAACATGGCCAATAAAATCCCATTTCTTTTCTAAAGTGAAATCTATTAGGCACACCGCTTGAATTTTTAATACAACACTTAATGGATAAGTTAACGAAAGTATAAAGGAAAAGAATATAATTACTGTGTTTAATTAATTGGTTTAATATTCCCCCTAAGTAATCTATACTAAAAAGTTCACACAGAAAACGTTATGGGAAATATATGATTCTCATCAGTCCAGTTAAAATATTCTCACGTTAACAATATTAGTACGTCCTTCGGGATGACTTAGTTGGTTTGAAGGGTGGTTATTTATACGGATGACCCAGGATCGATCACCCTCAATGCCACCTGGGTCGAGCCTGTCGCATAGGTCTTGCCTAATGCGGTTATATCTTTTGTGTGATTTGCAGGTTATTATACATGTGGCAGAGGCAGAGGTTGTAGCGGCGAGTTATCCTGCTTTTCCTAAAAAAATAATATTAGTATATTGTTTAAAAAACTTTTAAAAAGAAAAATTCTTAACGCACCAAGTTTATTATTATGCCTAGTTGGATGGTATGATTCTTTTTCTTTTTTCTTTTTCAATACATATAACAATTTCATGCCTACTTTCGATGGTACGATTCTTTTATATATATAACAAATTTCACAATATTCAATCGTCTATAAAAACATATCATCAATGAGCCAATTTTCATCATAAATCAAACAAACACAAGAAGAAAAAAAAATGCAACCAGGTGCAAAGTGGGAGGCAGTGAAGTATATGAAAACTAATTCAGCTGAATTATGGAAATGGAATTCCCCAATTCCATACTTATATTGTGCTGTTGGGTTCATTTGCGCTGCCGTTGCTTTCGCCATTTTCTATCGATTTCAAAATCGAGAAAATTCAATTTCAATTTCAGATCAATCAGAGTCCGTAATACCGCAAGAAAAGAAAATATATGATGATCAAATAATATGTCCATTAGATCCAGAGCCTAAAATAGTACTAGTCTTTGTTGGTAATGATAAATTACCTTTGTATATTGCAAAACCTACATATACTTTTTCTTCAAATGCTTCCCAACAAGTTTAGTTAATTAAGCTTTTATTTTTTGTAACACATTTTCTGCTAGCTATATATATATATATATATTATATATTGCAACAGATCCGTGTTTATTCAATTTGATTTCTTTTTATAGTCAAATACGTTTATATAATATTTTATATTTTCTCTGGAGGTTGTTAGATTTAAACTCATGACATAAAATCATCTCATTTAAAAGCTTAAACGGTATTCAACTTCCTTTTATGGTAATGAAGAATTGCAATACAAATTGCATTTGACAATATTAGAGGAGAGAAAGTTAAAAAGAAAAAGGCAGAGACTTTGTTAGATCTCTAAATCACATAAAGCTGTTCATATAACTATTTTAAGTTACATGGGAGGAACTATAATTATATAAGGCCCCATCAGATGGTCAGTGGACTATAATTAAATACTAAATATTTTACGTCAAATTGATTTAACTCATGTAAATCAAATAATTTTAATAAAATCAAAATATGTATTGATATAAACACCTGATGTATACGAACTACAAGCTTTTATCGTAAAATTATATATATATACCTACCATTACAATGTGAAAAACGATAGATTTGTCATATCTAAGTTTGACTTGAACTCTTTAAAAACATTATCTTATTGTTTATTCCCTCCCCTTTTTTTATCCTTCAGAACCACACCACATTTAAAATACAAAGTGCAAAAAAGTGATGGACTAACAGGGGCAAAATCACCTTATAGTTAGGGTGTTCGAACTCTATTTGGTAGAAAATTATGTCATTATAAATTTTTAGATATATATTCGATATCGAACCATCTTTAATTACTTCGTGTATTTATTATTTTAAATTTTGAACCACTTTATTGAAATCTTGGCTCCGCTACTAGATTGGAATCTTTCCAGCCTTGGAATATTTGTCTTATAGCCAAAAAGAATTTGTAGGACAATTTTTACTTAAATCACATGGAGCCCAAAAGAAGTTCAATTTAAGATATGATCACCCAAAATGACAAGAAACAAGAATAATACATGCATGGGCCTTAGTTGTCTGGCAATTTAATTTAATTTCCTTATTAATTATAAAACCATTTTCTAGGATTTACAAGTGAGGAACAACTATAAAGGGGTTTTATGATGTCCCATTCTTCACTTTTTATTTTTTGTTATCTGAATTTTTAGTTCCTTTTGTTACTTCTCTTTAATATGAAGAAAAATGACATCCCAAAAAAAGCCAAAAAAGTAGGTCTTCCTACTTATATAACATTAATAGCAACAAAAGATTCATAGCATTAAAGGTACTAATAATATCTTTGGACTTTAGATCTAACTAATTTGCCAGATCCATCAACTAAAATTGCCATTTGCTAATATCACAATTGGAAAAAAAACTATTACTAGTAACATGTAATACTTGTTTATAAAAGGAAAAAGGTTTCAAAAATCATAATTGTGATGCATCGAACAAATCATAATTTTCATTTTTATTTGTCAAAAATCATGTATTGAATAAAAATCACAGTTTCATTTAATTCTAATATGTAGCAAACACCTTTTCATTCCATCTCTCCCAGAAATCGCGTACGCCACTCTGTTATTCTCTCTTGCCTCTCTCACTTTTTACAAAAAACATATATATATAAATTGTGTTTGTTCAAGCGAGAGAAAACTGTATATATAAATATAAATACATATTTTTTTCGTCTTATACACTTATTATTATACAATACGAGTTTTCCCCTGCCAAATTATATGTTGTCTCTCTCTTTCTAGCTTTATATAAACATAAATTATACTAAAAAGAAACACAATGTACTGTATATATCGAAATATACATATTAATAGTTATATCAAACATAAAATTTGATATGGACCGCAATTATGCAAACTATAGCTATGACATACAAATATGATTTTTATGTTTGTTAAACCTGAAATTTACTCAATATACTATTCTCTATATCATTTTCAAGACCTAATAATAAACATTAATTAATAAGGATGTTGTGGTAAAATATCTATATCTAAATATTTTTTTATTAGGTGTATCGAGTCAAACAAAATCAAGTAGAAATAAACAGAGGGAGTAACTGAATAAGCTAGTGTTTGACTATAGATTTTGACTTATTTTTCAATACCGGTTAGATCATAAATTTGGATCAAGTTTCAAAATGTTTCAAGTTGACTAGCTTTCGGAACTTTCACTTACAACACTTCAAATTTTGATTAAAAGAACGTATGTTCAAATACAACTTAACGTTTCCAAAATATAAAATAACTTCAAAAATTTAAATTTTTACATATTTCAAATTTAAAATCTATAGCTATATCGGAATTAGAAATCGAATAAACGAGAGAAATATAGAGAAAGAAGTTAATTAATCAGCAAGGGGTAAGTTTTATTGGATGCTTACGTCAAGTCATAGATGTATAATTTTATGTTTTAGCACTTAACTTTGGTTAATTAACATATATTTTTTTCTATCTCACCAGATTATTTAACCAAAATAAATTTACATAGTTTGGTGTAAAACATCTAATGGTGGGTGGTTGGATGTGGTGCTTCTCCTTCTGATTTGCTGCACACAAAGGCAAAATCAAGATTGATTGAGTCAATCAATTCTCAATACTGAATGATTGTCCCACAAGAGAAAAAAGAAGTTAATTATTCTATTATGTGTTAAAATAATAATAGTTTATTATTTACTTGACATAAAAATTTAAAAGTAGAGTAAATAAATTAAATCATCCTTATTAAATATTAGTAATATTTAAATTGAATAAATATTATTAAAAGAAAATTCCGATTGGAGTAAAGCTCCATTTTCATTTACTCGCATGAACTTTGTTTTATTATTTGACATAACATTAAAAATCACTAAGTTAAAAATAAGTGAGGCTTGGAGATGATTATATTATATACTTTCTTGCATTTTAATTTATTTGAACACATAATTTAAAAAATAAATAGAGATTATTAAATTTTATAATCTTAAATTTAATATGTATATAATGCTTTAAATCGTTTGGTATTAAACTTTCCATCTAAAATGTTTGAACTTTGAAAAACTTATTAAATATATATAAAAAAAAAAGACATTTAAATTGAAATGAATGAAGCAACGTAGATAATAATACAATATACATTATTCTCAGTAGCATAGCATATAGGCTGTGCACCTCCTCTGTATTTTGCATTCAAAGTAAACAGCTTCTTATTAATGAGTCATGTTCAGTAGTCGAAATAATTAGTAAAGATTTTATATCTTCTCTTCAGACCAGCCCCAATTCTGTCCTTTCACATTTAAAGGTACATTTTGTGCAATTTGCCTTTTAAAACAATATTCATATGAGAAACTTACTCACTTTAATTAATTTGAATCCACTTTTCGTAATCCACGAAAGTAGAAGACACTCCAATCAAGAGTCCGTTTGGATGAGCTTAATAAAAGTAGCTTTAAAAAAATACTTTTAAAAGTGCTAAAATTTATTTTTAAAATAAGCAGTTATGCGTTTGGATAAAAGTGTTAAAGTTGTTATGCCAAAGGAAAAATGGAAGAAAGAGATGTTACGGTTATATGAGTAATTTGAAGATTGTATAAAAATATTAAGAGCAAACAGATAAAAATGTGGTCAACTTAAAACAGCTTATAAGCTAAAAAAAAAAACATTCCTACACCAGCTTTTAACTTTTGGCTTAAAATAAGTTTTTTTAAACTTAAAATAAGTTATTTTGAGTATTGTCAAACAGTTAAATAAGTCAAAAACCAGCTTTTAAATCAGTTTGACCAGCTTTTAAGCTGAGCCAAACAGGCTCTAAGAGTTTTTTTTATTTTTCATTTGTTTAAACTCGATATATAACAGATAAATATATTTTTTTTTAACTTAAACTTCAATTAGTATATGTGTCATCTAATTTCTATTGTGCACAAATAGACATTTTTGTTTGGTTAAGTGTATAAAAATAATATACAATGAGTATATTATTAATGCAAACATTAGTAATACATGTATTAATTATACATGTACTAGTTATGCTTAGATTATTTCTTATCCGTTGTTTGATTAGGTGTATTAGCATAAAAATATTTATTCACAAAAAGTATCCTTCAAAAATTATGGTGAAAAAGATGTAAAAGTACATTTTGTCTTTCACCATATTAATGCATGTATTAAATTCCTTATAGTATTAATATCTAAAAATTCATGATATTAGTAATACACTCTTCAATATACAATAGAATGTATACATGTGCGTCAAATAACTAATTACTAGTACATATAGTTAATACATGCATTATTCTTGCTAATATACTCTACCAAACGACCTCTTAAATTGCATAAAATTGAACAAATAAATATGTGAATCCTACTAATGAATGTCTTACATGGCCAATTTCCTGATATCCTATGTGCATTTTATCACGTACCACACACGGGCATCTATTTGTTAAAAAACTAATTTACTTATGCAAATTCAACATTGAAAAAGACACAGAAGTAGAACCAAGTAACATGACATATTTATGCATTACGCTTTTTTTACTTCCCGGCATTGCACCATTCTCATAACTCGAACCCAAAATGTTGATTAAAAATAGAAAGGGTCTTATTTATTCCACCACCGTTTTTTTCGTAAAAACATGCTTCTCTATGAATATCTTTGACAGCTTCTACCTGTCCCTGTATGTGATGTAAAGTCAGGTTCAATAATGGCTATATGTACATGTTGTCCAGTCCAGGTGTTAAAAGAGAGAACAAAAATTAAATACAGGGGTTTTGCCGTTGCTTTCAAAAAAATATAATAAATCTGCCACGTTCTTCTTATTTCTGTGGTGAATAGCTGTCTTTGTATTACAAAAAAAAAAACTTTTTCAACTCTTTATCTTTTAGGTCATCTAATCGTTTTTGCACTTACTCTGTTTCTTGCACTTGCTCTGTTTCCATGGATTCTAATTCCCAATTCTTTGGAGAAGAATGTAACAGCAGTGAATCTGGATGGACAATGTACATTGGTTCTCCTTCAACTGGTGATGAAAATATTGGGGATTTTGATGAATTAGAAGAGAGTAATTATAACAAAGAAGGTCGTGTTAATGAAGACGATGAAGATTGTGAGACTGATGATTCAATGGCTTCGGATGCATCTTCAGGACCGATTAGTAATTTTTCAAGGAATGCAAAGAGTGGTGGTGTAGATACTATGGTTAATTTCAAGAATCAAAAGGAAAAGGGGAAGGAAAAAAATTGCAGCTTTATTAGCAACAAAGCAGCTAAAAGTTCAATGAACAATGGTTACAAAAATGGTGATCAAGATAAGGTAAAAGAGCCTATCGTTGCTGCAAAAGGAATTAAAGGTGCATCCAATGATGGTGGTAATAAGGTTAGGAAAACTATTTGTATGGGCAAAGGGAAGTAGAAATTTTAGTAAATTTAGCTAGCGTTTGACTATAAATTTTTTTTTATAGAACTACGAATGAAACTTGAGTTTTAAATATTTTTGAGTTCCCAAAAAATTGATTCACACTACTGAGAAAATTGACTTCCACTCACGAAACTTTTTCCAAGTAAATTTCAAAATTTACAACTTCAAGGATTCAGATTTTAAATTTTAACTTTAAAATTTATAGTCAAACGGAAGCACAAAATCTCATGTACTTTAGATAGTATTAGTACTCTTATGTGTCTTTCTTTTTTCTTTATTTGTTAGTGCATGGAAAACTTATTCAGGATGTTTTGTAGTAGAAACAATTAAATCCACTCTTTTTAATACACAAAGTATTTTGAATATTCTATTTAGTTCCACTTGAAAATGTGCATTAACATTGTCATTCACACATTGTGCCATGTTCTTCGTGTTATTTGTAAAACCGCTTATCTCAAAATGGTTACTCAACTTTGAATAATTAACTTAGAAAGTTTCATAGATAAAAGTCATTCAATTTTACTATGATATTTCACTTAGAATGTCACACAACTATTTATACTATTTCACAAGAGAAAGTCATTTAATCAATTACTACTTTACATTTTTTTTAGAAAAACTATAATTAAATAATTAGAGCGGTTCAATAAGATAATTAAAATAGATATTTTATTATTTTTTAAAAAATAGTTTAAGATAAATTTTTTTAAAAAATTGTTTAAATTGATTGAGTAACTTTCTAATTGAAATATAAATAGTTTAGTGACTTTTTAAGTGAAATATCAATAGTTAATGATTTTTTAGTTATGAATTTTTGAGATTTTCTAATTATTCAACTCAAAGTTAAATGACTTTTGTAGTAAACAATTGAAAATTAAGTAACCATTTGAGATATCAACTCGAATATTGACATAGGCTGATATGTAAAAGAGGATTCAGAAAAAAGAGAACCATCACTCAAAGTGATTAAATATGCGTTAAGACATGAATTTGATATTATTGAGTTGGCAGATGTTAATTTGAAATCGAAATTTTATTTTAACGTGCTATCTAAGTACAAAAGTTATACTCTTTCTCATAAACACGAGTCAATTTCATTTAATCAAAAGAATCACAATATTAGAATATATATATTCTGTAATTATGAACTTATAAGGGACAAATAATAATTTTATCTTAAAAGTATATAATTTGTGTCCAATTAATTCAATTCAAAATTTTAAACAAAAAATACTATTCCAATATAAGTTGCACTTAATTTTAAAAGAAAATGTATACTGCTAGTTTACTCTTGGGAAGGGAAAAGTTGATGCATTAACAAGACTTATGGTTGTTGAACCTTTGCTCAATAATATTCCTTAATATCGAAGCATTATATTGACCCAATTTTAATCACTTTATTTATCTTTTAACTACTTATCCACTTTTAAATTAACATAATTATTAAAAAAATAATTAATGATATAATGAATTTATCACTTTACTTTTATTAATTATGAAATAAATGAATAAAAAGAATTAAGATTTTTAAATTATTTTTTTTAAGAAAAAATTATAAATGTATAATGAGTAAAACTTTTTTTTTATCCTTTATTGATTTATCATAATAATAAATAAGTAATTACAAATTAGAGATCACTAAAAAAAGTGAGCAACTAATTAGAAATAGTACTCTAACACGTTTTTTAAATTCTTAGTAGTCCAACAGACAAGATCTTTGAAAGGTCTTCTTACTAAAGTATAAAGGATTACGTTAAAATCTAGTCAACGACGCATGCAAAAATAGAGAAAAATAAAGGATGACAAATTAAATATTTCATACTATAATTGTAAATTTAATTATTATTATAATATTAAAGAAAAATGTATGAGTATCCCCTAATGTATGATCGAAATCTCAGAGACATACTTATACTATACTAAGGTTCTATTATCCCCTAAATTTATTTTATAAGTAATTTTTACTCCTTTAAGATTTACGTGGTACTAGTTTGAGAAAAAAAATCAATCAGCGTTGGATCTACAAGGTAGTGCAACATAGGCCAAAAAAGGGTAGAAAATTATTAATAAAATAAATTTATAAAGGTAATAAGACCTTAGTATAGTATAAATGTATCTCTGAAATTTTGAGTATAGATTAAGGAATACTTATGCATTATTCCTAATATTAATTTAAAGTTAAATAAAAATATATTAATTTAAATTATGAATTCACTATTCAAATAAAAAGAGAAATACAAAAGAAGGAAATCAATTAATACACATTGCTATATTGCATGTGAAATATTGAATGTAAAAGTAAATTCTAAGGCTTTGTCTCAATTCAAGTTACAGCAAAATGCATGCTCCCAACCTGTCAACAGACTGGACAATAAGGATAAGACACATAGTATTAACTTCCTCATCCGTAAACAAAGTTAAATAATGTTAGGGTAAAATAAGAACAAAGATACATACTTATATTCAATCTATTTTTTAAAGTATTGAATGAATAAAAATAAACTACGGAAACAGTTTTTCACAAAATATATTTAAACGGTTTATTTTTATTTTTTCTAGTTCTTTTCAAGCTAATAACCGGCCTGAAACTAAAATTAAATTGGAGGTTTTTTGAAGTTTTAATTTTTTTGTATTTAAAGTTTATTCTTCTCATTTTCTAAGATGCAAAAAATTGTTAGTATATTTAAAGTTACTTTTGAGATGCAAAATTATTTCCTTTTTCTATAAATAATAGTTTATGTATCTCATTTTTCGTCTGATTTTAACTTGACATAAAATTTTAAAAAATATATATTTTTTTAATTTTTATGATCTTAAGCTAAATTGTTATATTTATATTTTTATTTTATTTTTATCTTGTGAGATGGAAAATTAAACTTAAAATTTGACCAAAAAAATATCGTAATATATTTTTTAATGTTTTGAAACGAACTATAAAAGTAAGACAAATAAATAGAAAGATACAATAATATTTTTAAAAAACGAAATTTAATAATTCTATTATATTGGAAGATGAGATCCCAATTTTTGAGGCTTAAGACGAATATCTTAATTTTAAAAGAATTAAGACATCCGAATTTTATCTAGACATGCAATATCTAAACTAAAAAACTAATTCTATCACTCAAAAGTGTTTTTGGTCACTTGATATATTGCTTAAAAGCTACTTTGATTCAGATGGTTTAGATTTGTGCCTAATTCATATCTCAAAAAATTAGTTTAAAATGATGGATGTTCAAACTTTATAAGAAACTCAAATTTGCATTCATTCATCTATGTAAATTCAATTTAAAATATACAGTATTATTTATTTATATATATAATCTTGTAAATGTTCTTTATAGATAATAACACAGCGACATGTATATAGGGGTGTGTAAAAATTGAACCGATTAATAAATCGAATTGATAAAAGTGTTATTGGTATATTGTTATTGGGTTAATGACTTTTTAATGGTTTTAAAGAAATATTATTGGGTTATCGGTTCAGTATTGATTTTTAATATTGAATTATCGATATTAAGATTAGTGTTTTACTATTTTACTTGTACGTAAATATTACATATTAATCTCAATACATTACTAGTTACTATCTTTGTCCTTTAGCCTTCAATTCACACATCAAAAGTGACTTTGAGTTCATAATTTCACGCTATAAAGAATGGTAAAATTTAAAATAAAAATCTTATTCCTTCTAATTTTTTTTTATGTTACTTTTGTATAGTTCTTTTCATATTGTTATTATTGTATCTATTTTATGATCATTAAAGTTACATTATTGTATCTCGCATCGAGTTTATTAGAATAATTATATAGTTATTTTATAAGTATTTTTTTATTGGTTAAACCAAAAATTAAATCGTTAAAAATCAAAATCGATAAATTGAAAATCAATTAAAAAGAACTTATTAATTTGGTCTTTTAATATTTAATAAATTTAAAAATAAAAAATGAATAAATTAATTTGATAATATATAAAATTGAATCGAACTGTCTATTTGTTTATTCACAATTGGCTACACTTTTAATTAAATGCATATTATTAAGCTGGCAAAAGTGTTTGACATTCATTGTTGCTCATTCACATGAATGCTTCATTTGATACCAGTAGGACAAAAAGGAAGTTTATAATTGAAGGGTGTGTTTGGATATAATGAGGAAAATGCTTTTTAGAATATATATTTAAATATTTTTTGTATTTGTTTGGTAGATACATATTTAAATTAGGGAAAAGGTTCAAATATGTCATCGAATTTTCAAAAAAGACTCATTTATGTCATCCGTTAAAAGTTTGGCTCATCCATGCCACTACCGTTTAAAAAAAGGCCCATTCATGCCATTTTTTTTAACGATGGTTTTACAAAACCACTTTTTACACGTGTCAGATTAAAATTCGTCCACGTTATTTTTTATTTATAATAAAAAATCAAAAATTTGAAAAATTATTAAATAAAAAACCCACCCAAATTAAAAAATCGCTGCCAAGAAAGTGATTTATGTGAATTTCTTTTCTTTTTTCTTTTTAAATCTTGGCAGCTACTTTAGTTAACAAATTTTAATTAAATTATCGCTGCCAATTTTTTTAAGTAAATCATATTAAATGTTGATGAAGTTTTTTTTAAAAATAATTCAACGATTTTTTACAAAAATTGTCACTGATTTTTTATAAAAAAAAAAATTCCACCAAGTTGCGATCTTTAATTTTAAAAAATCAAGAAAGTAACAGCCAAGAAAAAAAATTCTTAATATACATGTGCTGCAATTGCAGTGATTTTAAATAAAAAAAACACTTAAAATTATAATGCGATTTTTATTTTGATCAAAATATAAAAAATCACCAATATTTAATATGACTTTTTTAAAAAAATAATTGGCGACGATATTTTTATAAAGAAAAATTTTCTAGAAGCAGATTTTTTTATTTAAAAGAAAAAACTTTTTTTTGTAAAAATGTTGATTTTGATTATTTTGGTAAAAAAATCACCTACATTAAATAACTTTTTTTAAAAATAATTAGTAGCTAAATATGTCATCGAACTTTAAAATCTTTATTTATGCCAAATATAATAAAAATAATTTAAAATATAATAATTTGGGTGTACATATAGGGTTTTTTATTTAATAATTTTTCAGATTTTTGATTTTTTATTATAAATAAAAATGACGTGGACGAATTTTAATCTGACACGTGTAAAAAGTGGTTTTGTAAAACCACCTTTAAAAAAAAAGGCATGAATGAGCCTTTTTTAAACGGTACTGGCATGGATGAGCCAAACTTTTAACGGATGGCATAAATGAGCCTTTTTTGAAAGTTCGATGGCATATTTGAGCCTTTTCCCTTTAAAATATTACCTTGAGAAAAACCAATTTCTTAATAATGAAAAAAATATTTCATACGAAAATAAGTTTTAGAAATAATTTTCAAGTTTATTGTCTCTTTTCGAACGTCCTTATTGCCTATTTGTTGACCATTCTACCCCTGACCCCCACTCTTCACCCTATTCACTATCATATATATATATATATATATATATAGCTTTTAGCGATAAAAAATATGTATATTAGCAAAAAATGTTACACTCGAAGCGATATTTAAAAAAAAATTTGTCAGAACCAAATCGCTCTGTCAGGAACGAATTTACCTTTTTGGTTAAACAAAAAATGATATGTCCTTTTAAAATTTTTGACAATTTTTTTTACCCTTTTAACTCCGGACATCACCTTTAGAACCAACACAACAATAAGGCTTCTTGTACAATGGGTGCTAACAAGCTTTTATAACAATTATCCAGAATTTTCTATATGTGTATATAAAGTTTTCGACGGGATTCAGCACCCGAATCTCTTTATGTGGGTTCACCCCTACCTGAAGAAAACAAAGTGTTTTTCCCTCATATTCTGTACATGTAGTTATTATTTATGCTAAATACATAAAAAGATAACTATACATTTGATACACAAAATTATGATAAATCTATATTTAAAAATAGATAAAAATTTGGGTGCGGAGCATAAATTCAGTAATATCGTCGAATATGATGAACTATAGTGTTTTATGTAAAATCTCAAGATTGACTTTAGATGTTAATTCAAAAATAAGAGATTATTTTAGACTTTTTATCTAATTCTTACAAAAATAAATACATAGTAAAGAAATAAAAATTACCGTACATTTTGTTTTGTTGGAATACAACTTGTTTTTAGAGTTTAATTTTAACTTTCTCCTATCTGTGACAAATTTTATTGTTTCGGTTACACCCCCGATTAATTGGTTATTTCTTTTCTGCGCCCTCCCAATTTTCAGTCCTCTGCTTTCCGCTTCAGCTCCCCAAACTCGCCGGCGAATACATCGGAATTATACCTTCCTTACAGTTCTCTTTTGTCTCTACTGTACATCCATGAGCCATTATTCAGTCGGAACACTAAGCTTTAGTCTATCTGTAGTGTTTGATGTAAATTGATGCAGCTCGAGATGACTAAAACTGGCATTTCAATGGTTTCTCCATCTTCTGAATCTGTTTATGTCCTCCGCCGCCCGACGTTCAGCCTTTTCCGCTTCTAGAAGATCAGGTTCCTCTGCTTACCCCAGGAAGGCGTTATTATTAAAACTATGTCGTATCGCTGTGGGTAATTTACTCTTTCCGTATTTGCTTACTGTAGTTGTTTAACTTAACATAGAGAATTTGAGGAAAGTGATTAGGGAGTGTTTGGAGGTTGCGGATTAGGGTAGAATGTTAAATAGTAATCGAGCATTCCCTTGCTTGATAGGCTTAGTGGTCACAGTTGGACCTTTCTCCTCAGTGGTAGTATTAGCTCTATTCTAGTAATTTCTTGTTCTGCCATTCGGCTATTACGGTTCGATCATTGTATTATTTTGTTGTTGTTACTGTATTTCTCCTGCTTGTTGTGTAATGCTTCCCGTTTTGCATTATTTCTTTGTTGTTATTACAAGCATATGTGTATCCCCTTTTACAAAGTATTTGGCATGCTTTATTTAAGCTTAGGGTGTATTGCAAGTAGCCTATCTACCTCTATGAGGTACAGTAAGGTGTGTGTACACTCAACCTGTCCTTGCCTCACTTGTGCGATTTTACTATGTATGTTGTTGTTGTTTGATCGCCGTGAAGAGTTTAATCGGCAGTGTCATGCTCTTAGTATGATCTAGTTTGGTGTTACTTTTACGAGATTGTCTTGCTACTACTTCATTCGGGGTTGTGAAATTAAATTACAGTTAAAACCAAAGTCTGCTTGAGAAATAGAGCAGCTATTAAATAGTATTACTTTTACTTATCAGAAAAATTCCTTCTTTATTATGGAGTCAAATTTTTCGGTACTTGAATATCAGTCTAGTAGTTTAGATCATAAACTACCTGCTCAGACAGAATCTTAACTTTGATAAGCTTAATCAGGAACTAAGAAAGTCTTCAGGAGAGTTATGCATGGCCTCTTAGGTATTCTTTGTGAATTTTTCGGAGTGGTGCAGGAAGAAAACTTTAGCACATTGTTGGCATCACGTGCCACACTCAGACGTAAACAAGTTCTGTTATAGTTAGTAATTCTGCATCTATTGGAAGTGAAATCTTTTGGATCAGTCTACGCAGCAAAATGTTAGTTGATATCCAAATTATATGTGGAAATTTAAGATTTGGGTTACAGCCTAAGTTGCGCGGACTCTTTGCTTTTGAGGCTGCACTCATGTTGGATTCTTCAAGAATACACTACTTTTGGAGAATCTAACACACACACGTTAGACATTTTTGAAGACTCCGAGCAACATAGGTTATAGCTACCCCAAAATCTAAATGATGATGTAAACTTCCTAATCATTTGGGGTTAAATTGCTTGGTGAACCCCCAAAGTAGATTTGCTCAAGACCCAATCACAATTATTTGGTATTTTAGAAATTGCACCGGGGTTGGAGAGGAGAGCTGTGCGTGGATGGAATTTGGGGAAGTGCCTCTTGTAGCAAAGTTGGGAAGCACAATCATATTTCCTCTGGTTTACAATAGAAACAATAAATATAGTCTCCATCAAAAATAATAAATATTGTGTAGAACCATTTCATTTGTCTAACATTTACCTATTTGCTCCATTGGTGTCCTTTATAACTTTTTTATGGAGCTCTTCAACTATCATTATTATACACTATGCCTCATTCAAAGTAATTATGAGCTGGCTTTGAGGCTTTAGGTTCTCAACCACTTGGAAAACTTTGGTTTAAGCTTGTAAGCTAGAATAAACCCAACAAATTTTTCTTGGCTAGTGGATGGTGGCCTCAAGTTTTCATTATGACTGTTAGAATGTGCTTTCAGCCAGAAGTCTAATCCATTGCTCGCTGATTGATGAACTCCTATGATCAGGTCTAACAAGGAAATAAAGGTTTTGACAAGGAATAATGTGATACTGCTCCAATTTTGGAATAGTTACAAAATTTTAAGTACTCTATCAACCTTAGGTTCTTCTACTAACCATAAACTTAAACCTATGTTTGGCGGGAAAACAAAAATCAGCAAGTTGATTGGGCTACTAGCTATAACCAGATTACTTTACTTGATGCTTGTTTATGCAATCTTGTACAAGTTGTTCTATCTACTGGAATTTACTCGTTTGTATGACAATATTTAATAAGTCGCCATTAATGTATCATCATGTAAGTGTTTTTGTTTTATCATCATTATTCATTAGTTGGATTTTGTCGGTCCTAGAAATAATTTAAAAAAAATTATTATTTCTGTGCTGGCAGCTATATCCTTCTTTACTTACTGTAGATAGTTTTTTTTTATGGCTGTGGTGTCTGGGACAACTTTTGTGCACCTCGACTAATTCTGTTGGTACCTCCCCCCTCCCACCAACAACATGTACCAGGTAACTCTATCCACTAAGGCTAGAATCACCTAGTGTTTATTGTCTCCGTTGGGAATGAAATTGAATCTAAGACCTCAGGGTTCTTAACCACTTTATTGACCACTAGGCCACACCCTTGGGTGCTACTGAAGATAGTATGTCATCATTTATAGTTGAATAGTTGATGAAATCCATGATCTTAAGATTGCTTCTTTAAACAGTTTAACAATGGTCCTTCCTGCTCTATCCTATAAAAGTAGAAGATAGTACTATCGGAAATGGGAATGATGAGATTGATGTGTAGGCATAAGAGGAGGGATAGGATTAGAAACAACAATATTTGGGACAAGGTATGAATGACCTCTGTTGTGGAAAAGATGAAAGCGAGATGGTTTGGCCATATGTAAAGGAGATGCATATATGCTCTAGTGATAAGTTCTAATAGAAACCAGTTGTTAGTTTGTAGTGTCAAACTGAAAATTAATCCCATGATGAACATAAACATTCACTTTTGTTGCCACATAATAGCAACACAAACAATGTAGTAGACTCGTCAAATATGTACTAGAAAACTTTATCAATACATGTTGATTCTCATTCAAGAAAAGGTAGCGTTAGGTGATAAATTCATTATTATTGGAAGTCTACAAACAAATCCAAAGTGTCAAACCACAATATTAATCATGGACTTTCTAATGCCCCTTTGTGTACATAAAAATGCTATTATCAATCTGCAGTGCAAAAAGACACAGGAAACCTCAATTCAAGAAAAGAAATTTGGATATACAAATGTAGCAACAAAAAGATACAACAAAAAAATAGAAGAAAATAAGATCTCCATTCAATCAGAAAAGTAAGAGCTTCTTAAACACAAATAATAAAAGACCAAAAAGGAAATCAATTTCTAATTGAAAGTTTAGCATTAACCTTGGTACCTTATAAGAGTACGACGATACGAACATTGAAGTGAAACTTAGTGTCTTAACCTTCATGGATATAAGCAAGTCGAGTTATATTAGTAAATTTCAACCTATAGAAATCATGAAGATAACTTGCAAAAAAATATCATTGTCGGAGCATTTAGAACAACACACATGAGCTTTCTTGTGAATTTTGATTATTGGAGCTAACTTAGCAGTTTTTAGCCTTTCCATCTGAATCAAAACAAAATATTCCTTCTCACTTAGCCCACCGAAAGCCCAGTCCAGAAAAATTGAGACCTTGGGCTACCATAGTATATACGGTATAGCTAGTAGCCCAAAGTCTCTATTTTTCTGGATTGGACTTTTGATGGGCTAAGTGAGAAGAAATATTTTGTATGGTTTCAGGTGAAAAGGTTTAGCTAGCTTCATTAGTCAAAATTCACTAGAAAACCTATATTTGTTGTTCCAAATAGGAAAAATAGGAAAAAAAGTTATCATTCTCAAAAAAGAAAAAGTTCAAACATTGATATTCTTTGTATGTAATTTTCATGATTTCTATAAGTTGGAATTTACTAATATAACCCGACTTGTTTATATCTATTGGTATATATACGTATAACAAGAGTTAAGACACTAGGTTTCACTTCTGTGTTCATATCGCCGAACTCTTGTAAGGTACCTAGATTAATGCTAAAACTTTCAATTCGAAATTTATATCCTTTTTGGTCTTTATTGTGTGTGAGAAGTTCCATTTTTCTGATTGAATGAGTATCTTGTTGTTCTCTATCTTTTTGTTGCTATATTTGTAATTCCGGATTTATTTTCTCTAGTCGAGGGTTTGTTATTATTTATGTGATTTCGTATTTATTTTCTTGAGTTATGGGGGTAAGGACTGTGTACACCCCACCCTTTAAGGGATCACTCTAGGTATGTTGTGATCTCAAATTAGAATTGTGGACTTGTCATCGTTGTGTAGGTTTCCATGTGTTTTATCCCTTTCTGAATACTTCTTTTAGGTCTTTGCCAGGTTTTTTAAGTTAAAGCCTTATGATGTTAATTTTATCACGTATAATAAGAGCCTATTTACAATTCTGGTTTAAAAATATAACATTTTGAACTAATTTCTTCCCCTCTTCCAGTGGGTTGTATTGTTGTAAGCTAATAAGAATGTTGTTAAGAAATGAGATCTTAAATATAAATTAAGATTCTAATTCTTTCCGAAAAGAAAGAATCAATGGTACTACTGATTACACGCAGTTAATTAGAGAATCTTGTGACAGCAATTTCCCTGTTAGGAACATGAAGGTGTATTCAAGTAATAGAGACATTAATTAATTACTTTTTATCGTGCAAATTTTTCTTCAATGGGCCCTATGAGTAGATATAAAATTGATATCGTCTCTCTTAACAAAAAGAAATTTTTGGTACGCATTTATCACCTTTCAATAGTTTCTTATTATGTTACAAATCATTAATATCATGTCACAACACTCCTCTTAAGTTATTCTAGTGCTACCCTTCTACATGTCTAATTGTATTATAAGTTCGACAAAGGTCCTAACTATTTTTATCTCATCATGTAGCCACATGGATAAGGAGCATATTGAGTAGTTCAAGAGGTATGAAATTGAGGTTTCAATAGTGTTCTATTGCGTTACAAGTCTTTAATATCGTGTGCTATAACACTCACCTTAACTTATTCTAATTTTAGTTTCTACATGCCTAATTGTCTTATGAACGCAACAAAAGTCCCAACTATTTTTCGTCTCATCATGTAGCCATTCGGAGAAGAATCATATGGATAAGTTGGAGAGGTATGAAATTGAGGGTTTCAATAATTTTCTGTTACATTACAATTCTTTAATATTCTGCCACGACACTCATTTTAAGTAGTTCTAATGCAGGTCTTTTACATGTCATAACCATATTATAAACTCACTTGAGGTCCTATTGTTTATTTTTTCATCATTTAGCGACATGAAGAAGAAAGATATTGAGAAGTTCAAGAAATATGAGATTGAGGGCAACAAGTATTTGATTCCCACATGCTTCTCAGACAAGACTATATCTGGAGGTAAATAATTCTTTAGAAGACGATAAGGGTGTCTTTTATAGATAATATTAAAATAGACGGCCGAAGGGTCTATATCTCTGTAGATGTGCACTACGGATTGATAATTGCATTTGTTTGTCAATCCCCAGAGTGGTCAAGGGATATTAGAAACTACATGCTAATATTGTGGTTAGACACTCTGAATTTGTTTGCAGGCTTCCAACAATAATGAATTAATCACCGAAGGCTTGTATGGTAAACCTCTCTTCTTAATTGAGAATCAACATTTATCTATAAAGTCATAGTTTTTCCTACTGGTTTGATGATTCTACTACCTTCTTTGTGTTGCTATTATGTGCTTCAAAAGTGACTGTTTAAGTTTGTCATGGGTATAATGTTCAGTTTGGCGTTAATAGGCTAACAATCAGTTTCTGTTAGAATACTCGGTCCTGAATTTCCTTAACTAAAAGCAGCAGTAATTCATAAATGATTGAATTTGCTGTCAATTGTTTACAGGAAACATATTTGATGTAAAAACGACTAAAGATGGAGAAACCTCAAAAGTGAGCAGGTATATCTGAAAATATGCATGTTTATAATATAGCCCATATCTTTTGAAGGAGATTTTGGGAACTTGTCTCCATGTTGACCTATAGGCCACGAGTTTGAGCTGTAAAGGCAGCCGTTGATGCTCGTGTTTGAGTAGGGCTGCCTGAATATGTGGCCCTTCTTTGGACCCTGCCAGAGCTTCATGCACCACCTGCCGTTCTTAAATGTGGCACATTTTGTGTTCTTGCTGTCCTGTTCTTATGTTTTGGTTTCCGCCTCAGGTTTCCTGGTCACCAGTCCTATGCAAACTTTAATGATGGAAGCAGTAGCGCGTCAACACCAAATTCTACGAGTGAAACTCCATCAAATGTTCGTAAGAGGAAGTACTTTCCGATGAGATTCTCATATTTATTTTAGAATTTCATCCCTTTAATTGTGGTGTCCTCTTAATCGGTATTAAAGACATTTTTATTACTGTATAATAAGTACAAATCTAGTCAAACAGGGCTATAAATATAATACACCATTCCACTACAGTAATTGAATTGAGTTGCAGTATTCAAACAACTCCACCAAAATTTGAAATTTTAAAGTCATTCAAAAGGTTTATTGATTTTATGTTTCATAGTTCATGCTTCAACCTCTATCCTTCATCAAATACTAGTTTATTTAGCCATTGTTAAACTAATCAATTTTGTGCCGAAGTAATAGTACATTTGTGGCCCCTTTTTCCCTTTTCTTTTCATCGTGACTTTGACAAAAAATAAACAATCGAATAAGAGCGCTTGGATTGACTTAAAAATTGATAGATTCAAACACGACTAAAGAGAGTTGCTCAATAGGAAACACTCCACATTCAACTCTAGAATTGTGATCAAATATGTGTTTTCTTTTTTGTTAAAAAATAAAACACACACACTGTTATATTGTTATAAAGTAGAGCAATGAGTCATTTGATTGACTATTTTCTTTTCAATTTGTTTTGTTTCATGTGGCTATGTCTAAAAAAAGGCAAACAAGTCTTCTCTTTTTCGAAAACCTAGAAATTGTTTACAGCCCCACCCAGTCTACGGGGGCCAAGACCCAAAACTGGAAGACATCCCAAGTAGAATCTCAAAACTCTCACTATAGTAAGCTTCATTTTCCGTACAATCCAGAGTACACTTCAGCCAAAAATAACAATTTTCGCCATCAAATATTATTGTCACGTCTTTTAGTCTTCAACTAAGTACACATATAATACATGACAACTCGCTCAAATTTTTACAATGACATGACAATAATTTAAATAATTCCACCAAGTTCGAGTCTATAAAAGAACATTCAAAATCAATCGTTATATATAATACTAATAATAAAAAAAAAAAGAAAAAGTGGAAGACCAAGCCCTCGTGTTGTGGACTTGTTTGTTAGTAAATCCTAAAAACTTATATTATCAATTAGTAGCATGATTTATAAAATTGAGTGAATCTAGGCAATTTTACCACTTGCCCATGTTCTTCTCCTTCTCCCTCCTTTTACCAATATCATTGACCCGCTCAAAATTACCTGATTGAAATAAACTGAGTTAATAAATTAACAGCTTAATAATTAATCAAATTTAAACAAATTAAATAGATTATAATTTTACTAGCTAATTTTGTCGTCCGTCTGTGTACACTATTAATTGAATGAATGTATAGACATTAAACTTGTTTTGCTTTTACGTAAACTAAGGTTGTATGCATGACAGAAGATATGATGGAAAACAGTTGTACCTGCCATTCCACTCACTTTAATTTTTAATTTTACCAAATTAAATAAATACATTGTGGGATTTCCAAATTAAATGCTTTAGTTATCTGAAAATATAATTATCAAATGTAATTGAAGAATATGAAAAGAGAGTCAAGTTTATTTAATGGTAATGTTGAAAATTTTAATCAAACTTAAATGTTATATTAATTAGGTTCATTTGACTTTAAGTTATCCTATTTGTACTATGGAATAAGTAAGTACATATGACTTTTTATGATATGATCAATCTGAACAAAATTCATAGTGGAATATATATATATGTGGGAATGCATTTAATTAATTATTGAGTCTATACTGTTTCTTGGCACCAATAAATAAAAATAGTCTTGTTAATGTTTTGTTTTACATAAGTTTTCTATAGTAATTAATGTACCTTATGTTTATCTCCAATTTTTTAATCTAAAAAAAAAAGAAGGGTGAGTGTTGTTGTGAACCCAAGATTTGACTAAGTTTTTGACCCTACTATTTTTCTATAAATATAATCCTAGTAATTCTTTCAATGTGCTTCCCCTTCCTTTTTGAAAACAAAAGATTAAAGAGGTGAAAAATGTTGTCCTTAAAAGTTATGGTTGTTCTTGTTTTTATTTTATTATCCATAAAAGATACTACTATTGCTCATACTACTACTCATGACCAAGGTATACATTACACTTTTAATAATATATTTTCCCTTAGCTTCTATATATATGTGTGTGTATGAAATTTCTATACATTTAAATTTAAAATGTTCCTTTCTTGAGAAATCTCATGAATAATATATAGTCCAATAATTATTTATACACTATGATTCTGCAGTTAAAGAAAAGATTGTAATTGTTGATGAAGCTGGAAATGACATTGATCACAAGGTAGGAAGGAACCATCTTATAATATCATGACCTTGTTGTTTTTCTCTTTTAAAATTTACTATAATTTGTCGCTTTACTTTTCAACAGTGTCAAAATTAGAAATTTCATTATGTATATGTATAAAACAAAAAATATATATGTTTTTTTTGACATATATAGTTTGTTTATAATAAATAGTATATTGTTTAGTGTGAAAGGTCTACTAAAAATAGAACTCTCTGTCTCATAAAAATATGAATGAGATACGTGTACATAGTATATATCCTACTGTTCTCAGATTGATATGTTATTATATATAGTATAATATTTTTGGACAAAAAATGTTAGACTGACTACCTTTTTCGTGTCATTTATTTTTTCTAAATTAGAGTTTGGAAAAACTTAATTTAGGGATTGTATAAATTGCAGGAAGTTTATGGCAGAGTCAAAGGGAATAGAGCAAGTTTAATGGATTTCAATGCTGCTGATTATCATGTAGCAACAACACATCCTCCAAGGAATAACTAACCTTAATTATACACAAACTCTTCAAACTATATATTAATTACAAATATAAGACATACATACATATATATGTATATATATGTGTGTGTGTTTTTGTGATAAAAGAATTATATACTTGTATGCATCTAATGGAAAAATCTAGCAAAGGTCTAAAAGAATTTACATATTTTCAAGTGCTAGAGTATATATATATACACTAACAATTGCAGTTACATAAATTTCTTTTTTGGGGTCCTTTAATTTCTCATTGTACTATATCTCATCAAGGATGTGTTTTCAAATGTGACTCGAAATTTTTGTCTATTATTTACGGATCAATGATGAAAATATTCAACCACTTGAGCAAATTTTACTTGTCGTTATAGTTCGTATTCGTTAACCTTTTCTTATGCTACAAATACCAACTCTTATCCGGATTAAAAGTTTGGAACAAATAACTCTCTAAGTGATGATATAGCAAAGGATGTGCAATTATTTTAAAATAATCACATGAAAGGTTGAAAATTGGTTAAAAGAATAACTAAATAATAGAGGATATATAACTTTTTCGGAAAAAGTCTTTCCAAAAATAAATAGAATTATGTATAGTTGTTGTGTCACTGTTAATATGTACAACTCTTAGCATAAATGTGGATTTGCTTTTGCCTTTTATTTCAAATGCAGCCATACTACTCATTTCGTCTCGAAATAATTATCATATTTCACTTCTTCAGAGTTGATATAATTTGCTTTAGAGCTAAATTGGATTAGAATAACTTAATATTTCAAAATTAAAATGAAAATATTTAAAAATCATATGAAAAGTACTATAAATTGCAATTCTTCAATTTTAGTATAATATATATCTTTTAAATATTAGTCAAAATTTACATGATTTGGCTTTCATGACAAGTATTATTATTATATATTTCCTTAAAATATTGGTCACAATTTATATGGAAAAATTATATATAATAGCAAACTAATAATCTAAAATAAATGGAGTAGCTAGGGTTTGATTTAATTGTGTTCCATAGCAAACGTTTGCGAAAAATTGCCAGACACCTCTCTCCTAAATATCTCGCTTGTCACTCTCCTCCAGTCTCTCGCTCGCTTTCTCATTTTTATACAAACACAAGTGTATAAAAATTGTTTCTAATTGTATAAAGCAGAAAAAATTGTATAAATACATATATTTTTGTTCCCCTCTTCCAGATCTCGCTCGCCACTCTCCCAAATCTCGCTCGCCACCCTCGCCTTTCTCACTTATACAAACAGAAGTGAAATGTATAAATTGTGTTTTGTTTGTATAAAGCATGAGAAAATTGTATATACACATGCAAGTACATATATTTTCATCATATACACTTATAATTATACAATAAAAATATTCCCCTGCCTAGTTTCTTTTGCCTTTCTCTCTTTCTCGTTTTATACAATTTTCAAATTGTATTTAATTTCTCTCTTTCTCGTTTTATACAATTCGATTCAATTGTATATTCCTTGTCAAGTCTCTTTTGTCTTTCTCTCTTTATCATTTTATATAAATTCAAATTGTATATAATCGTTCTATACACTTATAATAATACAATTGGTTTTGTACACTTCGGTTTTATACAGTTCTCTGCTCAAATGTCTTTCTCTTTCTTGTTTTATATATTTCGTTTTATACAATTTTCTTCAACTATATATGTATAACGAAATATACAGTTTCTATATTTGCTTTGGAGCGCAATTATACAAACTTTGCTATAGCATACAAATATAAATTTTTTATTTGTTATATGTGAAAGTTGCCCTTTATATTTTGGGCTTGGGCCTCTTGTGCATGTTTAGTTAGATTTGAGTCCACGGGCCCAAAGTTTTGCTCCATCAAGTGAAAAGATCATTTTATCTGTTTTCTTGTTAATGGTGAAAAAAACAACCAACGACGGGAACAATTCCGGCGATTCCAATACTCCGGCTAGCTAGAATTCTTGGATATGGCGTCTGACGAGGAAGATATCGGGGTTCCGGAAATGCATCCAAACAAACGTGTCAAAACCCTAACCCTGAGTTCACCTGAATCATCCCCGTCCTCATCTGACAAAGGCAAATCGAAGCTTGAACTTTCGAATTTAGAGACGGAACAGGATTGCTGTGGAATTTGCTTGACTGAAACTGGACATGGAACCACAATTATCAGAGGTGTTATCGATTGTTGCAACCATTACTTCTGCTTTGTATGTATCATAGAGTGGTCTAAAGTTGAGTCCAGATGCCCCATGTGTAAACGCCGGTTCTCCATCATCCGCCGCCCTGCTAGACCTCCCATTTTCCCTTCCGAACGCGTTGTCAATGTTCCTGTCCGCGATCAGGTTTTCTACTCTTGACTTTTGTCTTGAATTTCAGTTGGATTTGATGAATGTTGATTGCTGTTTGCTCTTTTTTTGAGATTCTTTTACATGATT